CCTGCCCACGGGGCTGTTGGCCCTGCCGGTGACTGGTGCCTCCCTTCCAGAGCTGAAGGACCTGAGTAGCTCCATGACCACCCCCGAGATGGCCAAAGAGATCGAGGAGCTGAGGCGAGACTGTGCGAGTTACACGGAGAGACTGGAGAGGATTAAGTCTGCTGCCAACCACGTGACTCCGGAAGAAAAGGAGAAGGTAAAAACCTGCGTGGAGTGGAGCCAGGCACCAGCAGCAGAGCCCAGTACCAGACCCTTCACCGCGTTACCTGGACCTCAGTCCAACACCGGTGTGACAGAGGCAAGGGGCTGTGTGGGAGCTGGGCTGCTCCGCAGAGCCTGTGTGCAGTGGTGGCACCTCTCAGGGCATCTCTGGCAAGCAGGCTGAGCTGCCTCCTCCCTGCAGAGCTTTGCTCCAGGCAGATGGCCACCATTGGGTCAGTTCATCTTTTCCTGTGCCGGGTGAGCTGTTTCACAGAGAGGTTTGCGTCCCCGCTGGGGCTCCGTGAGATGCTCGTGCTGTTAAATAACTCCCTGGCTGTAGCTGGGGCATCTGGTGGGTCCTTGGCACGAGGTGCTTCCTGCCTCAGGCTCACGGCGGCTTCGTGGGGAGCTGCTGCCTGGTGGGTCTCACTTTGTCTTGCCGTTCGCAGGTGTGTAACGAGCAGGAGCTGTACTGCAAGGAGTGGCGGAGGAGGAAGCGAATGGTAATGGCCGTGCCATCACGCGGAGCGGGCGGGCAGCGCCGGGGAGGTGGCGGTGACAGCCCTGCAGTGACACTGGGTGACGCTGGCACCCTGACGGGGACTTGGCCTCCGCAGCCTGAGGAGCAGCCCCTGTGTGAGCGGAGTGCCTTGCCACCACTGCGGTGCTGAGCCAGCAGGCCTGGGGTGAAGGCTGTAACTGGAGCGGGGAGTGCTGCGCCAGCCATGCTCGGTGCCCCCTGGGCCATGGGGTTTGGGGAAGACTCACAGGTACCAAGGCAATCCCCTGGGAAAGGGCCGTGGTGCTGCAGCACCCAAATATGCACGTCCCTGCAGAGCTGTGCCCGTCCTCAGGAAACAAACCAGGCTCACGCTGGCGCCTGAGCCGCACTGCCTTGCAGTGCCCTGTGGGGCACAGTGCCCAGCAGCTGTGGGGGGAACGGGGCTGCCCCGCGCTGGCAGCGTGGCCCCACCCACCCCCCCCCCCCC